AGTATACTAGAATATTACTTAGTGTTTTCCCCAGAAATTTCTTAATGCAAGGGTGGGGGGTCGCTGAATTGACGGCCTGGGGCGTTTCTGGCAATTGAGTTTATAAATGAAAAATTCAAATTCACAAATTCTTTTTTTTTTAATTTCTTTTTTAAAAAGGTAAACATGGTAAATAAAAGCTTAATATATAATTTGAACAAATTCTTTTTTTTTTAATTCTTTTTTTTTATTGTTATTCAACGATAGAGTTTTTATATAAAGAGATCTAATTACGAAAAATTGTTCTGTTAAAATTTTCTATAAAGCCATGCACTGTCATTTTACTGTTTTATGTATTGTGCTATTTTCGCTATCTACAAAAAGGCCCCTAATGACCCTCCCTCATTTTTTTTTATGTATCTACTCTTGCAGTCATCTTGAAACTTTTTGTTCTCATTATATACCACCAATGTAATGCTAACTGCATGTAGTTATTGTTTATAATGTTACTTAGAGCGCTTCTGAATATATATATAGGTCACTGTGTATTAGAAGCACATGCGTTTGAACCAAGTCAGCTTTCCAGAGTTCATAAAGTAAATTCATAAACATTGATAATGCTAATCACATGTTTCATTTTCAGTACATTAATGCAAAATTTGTCTTAAATATTATGTGATTAAATAATGAAACTTTTTTTAATGTCGGAGCATCAATGTTATTTATAGAACGACCTGTGAATGTTGGAAAACCCCACATGTGAATTAACAAGTTGTACGTATTGCTTCAACCGTTCGTACTATCTGACAGCCATCAATTATATTTTTATGGTTATTAATTAATACTTTCATCAACTACAAGCTTGATACTTAGTAATATACCAGTAATTAAATTGCAATGAACAAAAATTGACAGCTAGGCTATTGGCCGTAATGCATCATACCCCGTGCCGCGATACGCATTGCGTTAACAACATTGAGTTGGCGGGAGATCGTCATCGCGTTACCGCCATGCAAAAATGGCCTTAGGAAACCACTGCTTTTAGCAGCTGTTTAAACAGTTTGTAAGGCAAAATACATTTAATCTGTATTCCTACGAACTATCTGGCGCGATAAAGTACTCCCGACAGAGTTCTCTTTCTTTCATTTAAATCGACTTACCTGCACGGTGGAGCTGTATACACATACGGTCAGACGATATTCTTCCGCGTCCTCACAAGAGTTGATTCAATTTAGTTTTTATATTTGGTTTATCTTGTCTTCAGTAGCGAAATTAAATGAAAATAAATAGGTTTTTTTAATTAAGAACTTGGTGAGTAATTTTCACAACAAAGGTAGAATAGAATTAAAGAAACGACGAGAACTATTTTATCTTGCTCAGTCATGTTTACTAGAATACACAGTGAACTCTTTGCCGTAAAGATACACTGGGAGCTATATGGCTTTCGTAAGCCATAAAAATAAAGTTACCATGCTTGAAAATAACTAAACTCGTGTACTGATCAAAATGTACATATATACACGGGATGATAGGTTTATTTCTCTTATTCTTGAAAAGGGTAAAATTGAAACCAAAATATGAATATAGTGATACTGATGAATCCCGTAAAGCACCTCCCAATTCAAAAAAAAATGTTGACACTCTGAGGTGGGGTCAATATTCAACAGGGTCAATTTTCAACTTGTTGGGGTCATAGGAATAAGAAAAAAAATATCAAGCTGTTGAAAAATGACCCCGGGTATAAATTCAACGACTTTTGGTCTCAATTTTCAACGTTGAAAAAACACCCGGGTTCAAAATTCAATATTGAAAAATGAACCCCGGGTCAATTTTCAACTCGGGTCAATATTCAACGTTACATCGGCCGTATCTGCATGGGCTTTGTAGCGGAGTGATTAGCCCGTTAGTCTTTCAAAGAAAGAATCTTAATTTTTTTTGGACCTCCAAGATTACGATACGACATATTTGTATCCCCCCCCCTTCGAAGAATGGAGGGTATATTGCTTTACTGCTGTCTGCATGTGTGTCCACTTACTAGTAGTTCCCGTTCATTTTCTTCACAACCGTTGCATATACTGAAATGAAATTTGGTATACAGATATATCAGATGAATATTTAGGACAAGTTCTGTTTTGGGTACAATCGCACAATAATTGACAGTTTTGCCCCATGGACTTACAAATATTCCAATTTTTTTGCAGTTTCCATTCATTTTGTTTAGATAGGTTGCACATATTGAAATGGAATTTAGTATACATATTAGTCAGATAAATATCTAGGTCAAGTTCGGTTTTGGGTATGATCACACCATTTTTGACAGAGTTATGCCCCTTGGACTTAAAAAATTCCAATTTGTTGGAGAGGGGGGCATAAGTGTTTTACAAACATCTCTTGTTAATATGGTATCAAATGTACAATTGAAATAAATGATGCATGGTAAGGTATACATCCCATACACTCATTTGTTAAATTTCATCTTTTTAAATTTAAGACAAAAAGCCCAACAGGGGTATATGAATACATATAAAACATGATTTTAACTTATAAACAAGACTGCGTGAAAGAATGAATAGCATTAATGTTATTTGCAATTCACGTGTATAGTTCAAATAATAAAGTGTAGAAGGCCTCTGCTTATACAAAATAAAAATATGTGTATTATCACATTTTTTACATAATAGTTTTGGTATTATTAAAGGTACTTGGACATGCACAGATTTGAAGTTTATATTTTTTCTCTATAATATAACGACTTATATATTTTAAAAACATTTCACACAAAAATTAATTAAAAATCTTATTTCATTTAAAAAAGATATTAAAACTTCAAATTTTTGGCGGGTTTGATTAACACATTGAACTTTCACAAATTTTAAGTTTTTTTTAATAGTACTTAGGAAAAGTGGTAATCTTGTTGTGTATAAATGAAAAATAATATTCCTATAATCCAGAAAACTCAGAGTAGACGTGTTCGAAAGCAAAACAAACACAATATATTGTCAGTCCGTGCAGTTGTGGTGAGCAGACTTTGAAGAATGAACGCATCCAGTGAATCGTAAACATCACCAATAACAGAGCTCGGGCCCTGTTTACAAAAACTGTGTAAAAACACTTAGCTTGGAATGATGATACTTGTTAATGAGTTTTGCTTTCTAACATTTCTACTGTGAATAAAATTATTTTTCTGGATTAAAGTTTTAATATTTCTTATTGATACACAATTAACAAGATTGCCACTTTTCCTAAGGATTAAGAATAAAATTAAAATTTTATGAAAGTACAACGATGTGTCAATCAAACCGGCCAAAAATTTTGAAGTTTTACTAACTTTTAATTGAAATATGATTTTAAATTAATTTTTGTGTGAAATGCCATTAAAATCTATAGAGAAAATATTAACTTCAAATCTATGTCCAAGTACCTTTGACATATTACTTACAATAAAAGAGGGTGTTGCAGAAACTCGCGATTATTCCCTATATATTGAGAAGGGCATTTAAATACCCTCGTTATGTCTAAATATATACGTAGAGGACTATATGTTTACGGCGGGCATTTCCTGCTTGATACAGCAAAACACTTTCGTCATTTTGCACGAAAAAGGTTGGAACAACAAAAAGCACAATGGCTAAAGCAGCATTTTGAAAGATATACTGTAGACATCGTGCGAAAATATTTTTCATGAAATAAAACTGCGTCCCGTAATCACACTGTCGGTGCTACATCCAAGACATTTCATTTGTTTCAGATCAAATCTTGGCTACTAACTAAGAGACCACGATTATACATACATTTTATCTTGTTGCAACTTTTCAATAACATAAGACTTTCATAGCATATATCAAACACTAAATATGGTCAGATATGCTTTGATTTCTTTTAGCTGAAATTAACAAAGTATTATTTTATTTCTCTTCTGTTTTATCACAGCTTACTATATAATATATAATAAGTGAAAAAAAAGTTTTATTTTATGACATGGTCAAGGCATATGATATCGGGGGTGGATGGGGTTGGGGGTTGGTGGGGGACCTCCCACCCTAGTTAGAATAATCTAACTGTGTCTCGGTACAAGCCCTCACCACAGTTAGAATACGTCCCATATAGATAGTTTTCATATGACCTAATTTTAGCAAAAGTTAGCTCCCGTTGGCCGCCATACTGGAGGTCCAAATGCTCATATTCCTTCATTGTTCAACCAATTTTAAATTTTTATATTTGCGATTTTGAATTAGGAATCATTATTTTTCTGAAGTATATAAATTTTTGGAAGCCTTCTTTATTAAGAAAAAATTATTTAATAAAGATTTTCTACCAAATATTTCTGCTATATTTTCTTAAACTTGGTAAGACAAAGAGGAAAACTCACCGTGTCGACCTCCAATATGGCGACCAACGGGAGGTAACTTTTGCTAAATTTGGGTCCATCGAAAACTATCTATACTTGTTATGTAGCAGATCGGAGCGGATCCGCTCCGAAACGATTTTGAAGAATATAAAATGATTTGCACTGGGAATAACTACCAAAATAATCAAAACAAACCTTTTTGAGATTGCTTATGCCTTTTATCCCAAAAAATAATCCATAAAAATACGAAAATCCAATAAATTTTCTCAACCGTCAACGTCTCAATATTCAAACCTGCCATGTTTACATTCGGAACTCTCTAGATTGTTCCTAGTAAATGCACTATGCGGGTTATTCTTTTTGCTACATTACGAATACACGGAACGAATTCTATCGTTAAAACCGGGTCCGTAGGACAATATCATTTTAACGATAGAACATTCTATCTACTCCCACCCCTACCCCAAACAGACACTTTCACCTCAAAAAACTAGTTTTAGTTTTAATGAAATATAAAAGTTTTTATTATGTAATCCATTTATTTTCTTTATTTCAAGTCTTTTGTTGTTAATTTCCTTTTGGTTCCCTTTGGGTTCTTTTGGGTCCTTTTGGGTAAATCGACGCACTGGGGATTCAATATGATCGGGCTCGGCATTTTGACTTATATACTTTGTACACAAAGCCAGATCGGAAGGTGCATACACAAAGCCAGATCGGACGGTGAAGGTAATCATTTGATATTAAGTTTATATCATCTGTTTAATATGTTTATTCAATCAGTCCTTACAGAAACATGTTCCGTATAAAAAGATAAGGGACAACTGCAAAAGGCTAGAAAGACGTCACGTGGTGTGAGTCCAGGGTCGGAGAGTAGATTCTAATAGGACACGGACGCCCCATATATTAACCCTCGAATCACGAGTTTTCGTGGTATTGGGGCTGATGTGTAATAATATAGTGCTTCAAGACTGAATAATGGAGGTGTTTGCTATTTTTCACATATATATCAGGTTGGGACCAATCGCCCAAATGGGATATAATATAGTTAGAATAATCTAACTGTGTCTCGGTACAGGCCCTCACCACAGTTAGAATACGTCCCATATACTCGTAATGTAGCAAATCGGAGCGGATCCGCTCCGAAACGATTTTGAAGAATATAAAATGATTTGCACTGGGAATAACTACCAAAATAATCAAAACAAACCTTCTTGAGATTGCTTATGCCTTTTATCCCCAAAAATAATCCATATAAATACGTAAATCCAATTAATTTTCTCAACGTTTTTCTCTCGATTCAAATGTTTACTTTCGGAACTCTCTAGATTGTTCCTAGTAAATGCACTATGCGAGTTATCGCCCGTGTTTCTTTCTGCTACATTACGAATACACGGAACGAATTCTATCGTTAAACCGGGTCCGTAGGACAATATCATTTTAACGATAGAACATTCTATCTAGATATAATAGTCCGTTTGGGATATAATATCTCAAATGGGCTATAAATTTACAGTGCAAAAATTGAAAATTTTTATTTTGGCAATAAATATCATAAATCCGCATCAGGACACTTAAAAAGGAATAACTTTTGGTTGACAAGTTTTTCTGTATGCCCATTATTTAGGAGATTGATCCCTCGGAAGTACCTTAACTTCTTGGGGATCAATCTTACAAACTGTAGGGTTGCAGAAAAACTTGCTTACCAAAAGTTATTCCTTTTCAAGTGTTTTGATGCGGATTTATGATATTTATTGCCAAAATAAAAATTTTCAATTTTTGCACTGTAAATTTATAGCCCATTTGGGATATTATATCCCAAACGGACTATTATATCCCATTTGGGCGACTGGTCCCAACCTGTATATGTACACATGTACAAAATAATAGTCCTTATCATGCTTATCTTATCAACTCTCATATCATTTGTAATTAAGAAATAAGGTATCATTTTTAAACATCTATCGGGATATAAATACGGGTTGGTCCCGAGATTAAATTCCATAAAGCCCAAAGGGCTTTATGATGAATTTAATCTCGTACTAACCCGTATTTATAGCTCTTCTTCTAACTTGTCTAAAGGGGGTCAAAATAGTCTAATTTAAAAAATAGACAACTACCCAGCCCTCTCAATTTGCTTTCTTTGAAATCTACAGATTAAAGATCTTTTTTGGGGGACACCATTAAGCATTAGGAGTGAAACAGTTCACTGCAGTATCAATACACGGTACAAAATCTTTAGTTGTGGGATTCCGGATCGGATTGAATTTTTGGATCGGGATAAAATTTTAAGTACTAATCATGCTAATTAACTTAAATTTTTGTTGACTGATAGTTTGTAAAAATATTTTTAATAGATCTATTCAAGTAATTTTTTTTCACGTTACATCATCTTGAGTATAAATAATGTGACTAGATTAAGTGGATAAAAGCAGAAAACAGCAGTTAAATTTGTTTTCTTCTGTCAAAATGTATCATATAGAAAATAACCCTACCGAGACAAAATTATATGATAAGTATTAAACTGTGAAGGTCAAGTTGTTTCACCCCCATTAACATGATTAAGCAGAGAGGGATCTTCTTTGTGCCAGCACCTACTATGACACTGGACCTCTGTTTATGCAGTCTCATTCGAGGAACCAATCTCCGTGTCCTGCAGTGGGATTCAATTCATTGAATGTATATTGTATGATATCTGTTTTGAGAATTTTTCACTCATATGGAGAGCTGCAAATATTTTCCTTTATACTTGGCACTTTGGGTCATTGAGCAGGGAGGCCAGCACCTCGTACTGCGACATAGGACCTGGGTTTATGCAGGCTCATCGGAGGAACCTCATGTCTCACAGCAGGATTTGAACCCTAGACATAATGATCAACTCCTTACTTTGCGACTCTAGAGCAGCACTTTAACCACTGCATCAGACAGGCAACGAGTGGGATTCAAACATGTAACTCAAAAGGAAATGCTCTAACCACTGTGCTTACACATGTTATAATTGCCCTTTTCCAAAACTAAATGGAAGTGATCACTCTATGAAAATTATGAGTTACAAATGTATCAGAGGTATCCTTTATCAGTTATCTCAATTTATCTGCTAGAGCTGTTACTGGTTACCAAAATGATCCAGAACTGCGGAGCATCCTTGGGTAAGTTGGGGAGTTTACATTGTAAAAATAAATGGCCAAGTCCCTTTACAAGGGGAGATAATGAAGGAAAGAGAAAAATAGGGTGAGGTCATTAAAAAAATCTTCTCAAGAACCAATGGGCCAAAAACTCTTAAGCTTTATGGAAGCATCTGCTGGTAGTATAGATTCTAAATTGTTCAAATCATGACCCAGGGGTAGGGCCGGGCTGCAATAAGTATCAATTTTAACAAAATATTACGATTGATTAAAAACTTATCCAGATTTTAAAAATGCAAAAATCGGATCGCGGAGCAGGTCAAAATCTAGTCAGTTACAGACAATACAATAAATAATGTCTATAGACATACTCACTGTAAAATGGAGGGAAAACGAAATACTGCCTAGAAATTCAAATTAAGAATTGTTACATTGATACATGTACCAAATGATGGTTTCATATTTTGCTTTGTTGAAAAGAAATCAACTTGAGAAGATAAGTTGTCCTTATTGAAAACGACAAAAACGATTACGTTTTCGAACGTCACGGAGCAGCAGATACCGAAGCAATTTTGTGTTTTTCTCAGGAAAAATCCTGAATAAATTCTAAAATGTTGAAGGAATCAAGAAAATATGTCACAAGCAAGTTGTGCATGTGTGTACAAATAGTCCAGGCAGTATTTGAGCGACAGAGACTCTGTATCGGATGAGGATGACCTGTGTAGAAACGATTTTACTGTAAATATCTGAACAAAACTTTAAAATTCGAAACGTAAATGAAAGACAAAGGCGCTTCAGAGTCCTTTATCCTGTGAAAGCAGAGTTAAGTACTAAAAGAAATTAAAACCTTAACAAAGGAAATTATACAATGAGATCAATTCTTAAAAAATAGGGGTGTGCAATATTACCGGTATATCGGTATATTGCGGTATTATCCACCACGATAATATATCGCGATATGAAAATCAGATACCGGTATTTCACGATATTTATAAAAATATATAAAAACCTCCTTTATTGTAGAAACTGTTAAAATAAAACTGGAAACTTCTAAGTCTTTTTCTTTCTCGTTGAAAGAATTCTTCGTCAGTTTCGTTCGGGAGAGAGAGAGGGTGGAAGCTTTTAATTCACTGTTGCAGTTTTGAATATCTTACTTTGAAATAAAATTACTAATTAATAAAACTTTAAAAGAAAATTTATAAGGAAGAAAATATATAAAACATTTTTACAGGGTGTATACCATATGCATTGCGGTTCGCAAAATCTCACATTGAATCTACACGATCGACATCGCGGTGAAATGTCAAGTTCAATATACATGTACATATTAAAAGTAAATGGTCATCCATGTTTTCACTAGTAGCAGTGTTGTTTTAATTATTTTTAATAACTTTCATGCCATTTTAAACACCTTATGCTATAGCAGGAGCATGTATTTATTAAAACAGGCCATTTCCTGATTGTACATCTTGAAATTAGGTCGGGTTAGACTAAATTACCAAAACGCACGAAAACAGGTCACAATTTCTTTCTGGTTTTTTAAAATTTTATTTTGTAACCACAATAAAATTATTTTCATATAGGCCTAATATGTATATTGTTTTAATCTTTAATAACATTTTATGCTACTTCATTAACCCCCCCCCCCCCAAAAAAAAAAGAATTCAATGAAAAAAGATTATATAATGTGTAAAAAATTTTATTTCAATGTGAAAATTCTCCAAGAGAGTTCATATTGTTTTACTATTTTACCTGGAATTTGATTAAAAGTAAAGTGTTAATTTGGTGTGCAATCAATGTCTTATCCCTCCTCTCGCTTTTAAACTTAAAGAAAAATTCAAATAGTCTTTGAACATGACAGCATTTCAAACATTCTGCTCAAATTTATTAATGATAATTAATCTACAATATATTGCAATATATTGCAATATTCAAAGTAAAATATTGCAATATATCGCAATATGGATTTCCTTCGCAATACCCAACTCTATTAAAAAATGAATGTCATGTATTAGAAAAAAAATATGAATGGGCATTGGAATATTTTGTGTGAAATGTATAAGTATATTACATATTATAAATTCTCGAGGCTACGTGTTGATGCTACATTGCCGTTTTGTGTGCTCCGCGGGTACAAAACATGTTGAATTTAAAATGAAGTAAATTTATTTGTGTTAAATTGAATGGAATGAAACTTTACACGTCAACAAAACAAATATTTTTAAATAATATAATGTGCATGTTTTGAATTTCCAGTGAGTAATATAACGAAGATGGACATCGTCCACGAACTTTTCGAACAACCCTCGTATATGCCTATAAATCTATGACTTACTGATGTAATGAATACCTCCTAGGAAAAATATTTAGATTTATTCATGGCTGCATGATGTGAAGAAAAAGTTTCTTATCAGAGGAAATAATATCTTTTAATTGGTTAATGGAAAATTTCAGAAAAAAATATTACCTGTATTTAAATATTATACCAATCATTGTGAGCATATTTTTTAATGAATAATAAACTGAAAAATACAGGGAGGAAATCATTGGCAAGTGTTTAATTTTATTTATGACTGAAGTAAAAAAAAAAATAAAAAAAAACAATTGTGGAAATAATATGTTGGGAAAAAGTTATTTTCCTGAGATTTTATTATGTATAATAACAAAAATTAAAATGAGAAAATAAAAAAGAAAATGTTTCTCACAATAGGCCTATTTTAATGAGAAAGAATATTAAAAAAAAGTCAAATGACAGATTTTGTACGTTTAGGCATATTATTCTAATCGTGCTACTTTTAGATGATACAAGGACTACACATTGATAACTTTTTATGCGCCCGAATTTATTCGGGGCGTATATTGTTTTTGTCATGTCTGTCTGTTTGTCTGTCTGTTGTCAACTTTAACCTTTGCCATAACTTTGGACACATGAGAGATAGAGACTTCATATTTGGTATGCTAGCCTGGTTCCCTGTCCCTATTTTGCTTCGTATACTCTGTGTCACTAGGGCCAGGTGGAGTACAATGGATTCAGGGCGAATCTGCCCTGAATCTTAGCTCATTGTGACGTCGAAAATGGCTGCGCTTCCGGTGAAGACGTTCATTGTGACGTCGTATTTTTCTACATCGACGACGTAATGTATCATTGTTACGTCGATATTTATTTCCGTGGTTAATGGCAACGGTTTAAAAACCCACGATTTAGCGCGCATTTTACTGACCAATCAAAGGAAAGCATGTAACGTAATCCACCTGGCTCTCCTACCTTGGCAAGGGTGAGCCAGGGGACCAGGCTGTTGGTATGCTTACTCTAAGCACTTTCAACTGACACCAAAGTCAATGACCTTGTGACCTTGACTGTGACCTATTTGCTAAAAATTGTTTTTTAGAAGTTTGTTTCACAAACACATCTTGTTTGATAACTGCAATCCTTTTTTTTATCTGCTCTTTAGGATCTAGTTAACTTTAATGGCTCAAAACTGATTAAATAACTAATCACTAAACATCAATGTGTCGCATCACTTATTTTTATAGCTCAGTGATACGATCAATGTTGATCATGTCATGATTTACAGATGTCCTGCAAGGAAACAATTCAAACAAATATTTTATTTCTTTCTGAACCCTCAATTTTTTTTTTCATGGATACATAATTGGGAAAAAAAGATTCAAAATTGGGAAAATATGGCTGATTTTTTAATTGTGAATGGGATAGTAAACGTACCCAAAAACAAGTCAGGATAACCCCTGTTTAATCAAAATCACTGATTCTTCCTCCGAAAATGGAGAATGCCATCTTCATTTTTAGAATATTCCTGGTCACTAAAAGGCTTTTAAATCGGCACTTCATTTTGAGAAAAATCAAACACTAATTTAACCTAAATTCATATCATTAAGTAAGTCGTACCTGTATTCTTCAACTTGTATGCAGTACTTTCGGTTAATTTTGTTGTTTTTGAGGTATGAAGAGACCCATGAATTGATGTCCACCACAAAATGTAAAATAAAAAATACATTACGACTCAACAATTTTTCATCCACAAATCCAAATCTCTATGAGCTAAGAATTTTTACTCAAACCACGAAAATTTGATCTCATTAAAATATGTTATTTGAAATTTACAGTTTATAATAGATATGTGTTTTTTTTTTGAGAATATTGCAAATTAATTATTTGTTTACTTTTTTGCAGGTTTCAGACTAAAGCAATAATTTGTTTATGACGTCAGAGCTACATAACAAGGTCATGACTTCAGAGTTTCCCTATACTGATATCTACAGATTTGATACTGAGTCCATTAGTGAGTATAATTATTTAAACAATAAAATGCTTTGTTTGTTTGTTATTACTGGAATTAACGGAAGCAGCTGTTGCAGAAAAAAATTTTCTGCAATAGCTGTGACCGTTAATTCCAGTACAGTCAATTCTCGAATTATCGCCATTGATTCAACGCCATTTTGGCAATACCGCCATGATTTCCCATGAACGTATTTCCTACTTTATAAAATTCTCTTTATAACGCCAAATTTGCATACTGCCATCCGCCATCCTGTTTTCACAATAAACATCCCTTTTTAAGTGTAAATTATCTTGATATACTGTCACAGGTGCATGTGGTCAGTGAAGCGCGGCTAATTGGTTGACGCTATCCCTGTTGTTAAGCATGCAATTTAAGCAGACAAGGTACATGCAATTAAGTAATTAAACAAGAATTAAATCAACAATAATTTTAACTTGAACTGTTATAATAATTTTGTTTTCTGTTTAATAAAAATCATTTAGCATGTTTAGTCACAGCTTCGACACGAAAGCGGTAGTTGTCAAAGTACGCTGATAACGATATTATTTTCATGGTTTTGATGATCTCTGCTTTAAACAATGCAAAGTTTGCTGAAAAAATAATTATACCATATAAAATTGTGAATGCATCATTAACAATGATGCCATAAACAATGAATTTATTCAAGAATTCATTTTACCTACTATCAGCAATACATGTATATCATGACGTTCGACCAAGCTTGTTTTTTTTTTTTCAATACATGTATCAGACGTGCAGATTTACATGCATACACATGTACTTGTCTTTATTTCATAACTCTACATTTTCTTTTAGTGAAATTGTACATTTGAAAAAAATACTTGAAGTATTTTCAATCAGAAATATGTTTTATATACATGTATATGTAATAATAAGAATAAAAATGCTAAATGGTATTTCTAAGTACAGTAACTCTTCTTCATCATTCATGTTTTCTAAATTATGGAAATTCAATTCATTGCCAAATTCGTTATACCGCCATGATTTCTAAATTACAAAAGGTGGCGATTTATTGAGAATTAACTGTTAAAACAAACAAAGAAAGACATTTTATTTTTAATATTTATATCATTCTGTTTAAATAATCATTTAAAAAGATTAATTATTGTGTTAATGATGCGAATGTCTTAATATGTTTCATTGATGGAACAGCCACTGATCAAGAAATCTGTAAAGGTGATATGTCTAATGTAGTTCATGCAGTGATTAACGCAATGTGTTTTCTTAAGAAATAAAGGAGAAAATATTCAGTGGATGTAAACATATGTAAATAAAGATACTTCTAATACTGTTGAACACAAATATATTGAATATGAATACCCTTTTAAAATTGTAAATGTTGTTAGGCATTCCCAAGCCCAGTTATGTTTTTAGCTGTACTGGTCAGAGAACAGAACATTAGCTTATGTGATAGTAAGTTGTCCATTGTCTGTCTTTCTAGCTGCCCATCTGTCCATCTGTCTGTAAATGATTTTTGAGTGTTACTCTTCCTGAAGTTTAGTCTGATTCCATGATAACTTGGCACACAAATAGACCACACTAAAATAAAAACTTACATTAAAATATAAAGGAAAGTTTGTGAAAAATCTTCCTGAAAAACTGAAATTTATGTAATGTGGAAGCATCATGGGATAGTGTTGTTTCTTAATCATTCAAATCATGACCCCCAGGGGGTAAGGTTGGTCCCTAATAGAGAATGAAATTTTTACATTAAAATATAAGTAAAAATCTTTTCAAGAACCACTGGACCTAAAAAGCTGAAACTTGTTTGGAAACATCCTGGGATAGTGTATATTCTAAATTGCCCAAATCATGACCCCTGGGGTATGGTGGGGTCACAATAGGTATTACAAGGGGGGAAATCTGGTAAAGTACAACATAGCCAAAGTTACTAAGGTGGTCGATGCAGCCCATGGGCCTTTTGTTCCAACATCTGAAAATCCATGATTACTTCTATTAACAACCAGCAGACATTTTTAGGTAGTGCAGATTAAAGTTTATATAATTCATAGCATCCATGCTTGGGATTAGCCCAAACTATGTTACAGGTATAGACTTATAACACTAACAGGACCTGGGTCAAACATATACTAAATCCTACATAACACTATATGTACTTGAAGCTGCTAGACTCTCCAATGTTCCCCTAGAACTGGTACCCTTCAGCATGTTCAGTGACAGGATTGATTCAATTAAGGGCATTCTTACAGTAATAATAGACATACTTATTTCCACAGGGTCATAATTCCACAGAATCTCAATTTCTGTGTAACTCATGGGTTTATTACACAGATTTCTTAGACTGTCACCATATGCCTTACATTTTCATAAAGTATGCTTGGACAAATTTCTATGGAAAATTTGTGACCACATACAAAGCATAAATTAATACCACGCAAAAAAAGTACTTCTACAATATTTTAATAGCCATACTTACTTGCATCAAATATTTGCAATGTGCTTGGACGCCTATGATAATTATCGGACATTTAAAACATAAGAGACATCTCCTTCAACCTGGAACTCTTCAGTTTATATGTTTGAGCACTGGATGGAACTCTTTTTACAAAAAGAACTTAAAGCATTGTTACAGTTCAATTTATTAGCCATAATTATCTAAATCAAGTATTTGCATCATGCCTGGACCCCTTTGATCATTATTGAACATTTAAAACATAAGAGTTATCTCCCTCAACCTAGAACTATTCAGTTTATATGTTTGAGCGCCTGACGGATTTCTTTTTACAAAAGAAGTTGTAGCATTCTTACACATTACTTGTCTTGGTTGTAGTAAAGAAAGAGCCACTTGGGATTTCTGACTGTGTGGAGGAGGAAGAAAACCAACAACTTGTAATAGTGAAGGTAAAGATTTTTTTTTCTGTATTTAAATGGTGCACATGATTTCCAAGAGTTTCCATTATTTAATGTATCTGTTGTTTTTATTGCAAAGCTCTGATCAATTTTTTGCAGGAAACAAGTTGAGATACATACTATCAACAAAGACTTGAATACTGTATTTAATTTACTTTGATAACCTGACACATTTTCATTGTAATTTAAATGAATTTAAATTTTGAAGGACTGGTATGATTACTATGATCCTCACTCATGTTACTTAGACTAAATTTGCATCGATTCTATGGAAAGAGCAGCACACTACCAGAACAGCTGTATGATTAAAGATCTTGGTTTCAGATAATTAAAGATGCTTGCCATTTTTGTCTGTCATCATCTGTCATGCGCTAACATTTGAACATTTTCTGCTTTCTGAAACCACTGAACCAATTTCAACCAAATTTAGCATATTACATCTTAGGGTGAAGTGGAACAAAAATTTGGAATTTCATGGTCCCTGTTTCCCTGGGAGTGGAGCAAAAACCACTAAAATTGTTCCAACTTTTAGAAATCTTCATTTTACACCTGGACATCAAGCAGTCAAACTGTTGGCATGATTGTAATTAGCATTCTGTCCTCTACCAATTTTTTGAAATTCATGGCCCCAGGGTCAGGGGTTCTAGTGCTAGGGTGGGGCTAAATAGGTTATATAGTGAAAATGCATTATTTCTTTGAAATTCTTCTTTTCTGCTCATGGGCATTAAATAAACTAACCAAGTTCATAGTTGAGTTGAAAATGACTGCCTCTTCCAAATTGAGATTTTCATGGCCCCAGTGTCAGGGGTTCTAGTGCTATGACTGGGCTATATAGATTATATACAGTAAAACTCGTTTAGTACAAACACGGATATAGCGAATTCACGGATACAGTGAAGTTCTTTTGGATTCCCCGCAACATTTTAAACAAATCATTGTAAAATTTTACAGTTGTAATGAACTCTGATATAACGAATTTACAGATATAGTGAACTGATTTTGAGTCCCTTTGAGGTTAAATATAGTGAAATCTACATTTTTTATAACGAACTTTCAAAGATCTTAAAATTTGATAAAATGAATTGACTTTATATTCGTTTAGTATATGAAAATAAAAATTCAATTCAAAATAAAAAACTTTGTTATCGAAGGTATGTGTTTGTAATATTTGCTTCCCTAACATATTTGGTAGAAAAATTTGAAGGAAAAAAAGTCGTGCAAATTGTGAATTTGCTTTATATGGTTATACAAATTTGTTATAGGGACACAACAAATGATGGATATAGCAATTAAGTATTAAATTCACTGGTCCCTAGGACTTCGTTATAACCAAGTTTAACTGTAGTAAAACATGAATTTTCTTTGAAAATCTTCTTCTCTTCTCCTGAGCATTAAATAAACCAACTAGTACCTATTGTGAATATAATGGCCCAGGGGTTGGGTTCTGGTGTTAGGTGGGGCTTTTTTGATTATATTGTGAAAATGCATATATCATTAAATTCTTTAAAAACATCTTTTTTGCACCTGGGTATTTTATCATTGAACTATAAACATAGTTACGAAGAGGAAGGATGTCAGGGCTTCTTGTGTAAGGGCGGGGCTCTATAATGTTTACATAGTAAAAATGCATGAATTCTATGAAAAATCTTTTTCTTTGTTCCTGGGTATTATGCCAATGATCTCAGTATATATTTATGACAAAGAAAGCTGCTTTTTCCAAAATTTTTTTAATTTTTTGGCCCCTGGGACAGAGGTACTACATGCATGTGTAGAAGGGGTAGTCTACATAGCCTGATTGATTGATTGTATACCGCTTAATGTCCCACTCCAGAATATTTCACTGATATGGAGACGTCACCATTGCCGGTGAAGGGCTGCAAATTAAGGCCTATGCTTAGCACTTATGGCCTTGAGCAGGGAGGGATCTTTATAGTGCCACACCTGCTATGAAACAGGGCCTCGGTTTATACGGTCTCATCCGAAGGACCGCCCCATTTAGTCCCCTTTTACGACAAGCAAGGGGGTATTGAGGATCTTTTCTAACCTGGATCCCCACAGGGCTACATAGTGTGAAAATGATTTAATTCTTTGATACAGTGGACCTTCAGATATCCTGACGCAAGATATCTGGATGCTTCAGTACCCAGACAATTTTTCATCTGTATGGAATTTTTAAATGTTATATTGTCTTGTTTAACTGGTGATTCAGGTATCCGGACACTTGACATATATATCTGGACAAATTGACTGGGAACCAAAGCGTCCAGATAAATGAGGCTCCACTGTATATGCAATTTGGTATTGATAAAAAACATGATGAAATCAAATTTATAAGTTATAAAATTTATAAGATGTTACCCGAAAATGTATTTTCTCTTTGATACTCTGTACCTCTGGGTATTAAGTAACCAAAGTGAGCAAAGTGATCCAGTGTGTAATTACATGTATGAAAAGCAATGGTGCCCCTTACAAAATTGTGAATTTCATGGCATCATTTCATGTTTAAAACATAAATCAAATTCAATTTTTGGAAAGTTGTTGCATTAAACTCAGGTGACTTATACTAGGCCCATGGGCCTTTTGCTCAGTTTTGGGAGAGAAAAAAATGGAATGTGAAAAAAAATATTCAAGCTGTGTTTCATAAAAAATGTTTTTAAATCGAAAAATTCCAATTGAGTTGTACATCAAAAGAGTAGACATGGAATTTCATATTGTAAAAGATAGTATTGACATATAATATGTTTAATGTGGTTTTGTATTAGTTCACATTTATTGTTGGAAAAAATAAATCAATGTTCTTGACAAGACCCTTGAGCAATTTTCACCTCTTGGCCATCGAGTTTGACCAAGTTTTAGAAATTTTAAAAACTTTTGAATGCATGTATAATATAGTCTTTGTGTATGTTATTTATCCTACAGTGAAAATAGTGCCATGTTGAGCATTTAAACTGATTTTTTGGTGAATGTTGCAGAAGGAAGGGGGGCAGTTTGAATCCGATCAGAGAAATACTGAAAATTTGAAGAACTGCTGTTCAGAAGAAAATGTTGAAGGACATATCTCTACAAGTGTAAGTACTAAGCCTGGTTTATTTAACAGTTGGGAAGATTCAACAAATCAATTACAGAGACATACTGGGGCACAAAGCGGGGATGAAATTTTAAAGTGTGAATTGTGTGGGAAGGCATTCTCTGTATCTCTTTCTCTGACACAAAATGGTAAAGAACCTGATATTTGTGACTATTGTGAAAAGACATTCAACCAATCAGGCACCTTACAAAAAAATAAAAGGGCACATACTGGTAATATAAGCTATAAATGTGATGTGTGTGAAAAACGATTCAAACGATTTTATCCCTTGAAGATACATATAAGGATACATACAGGTTATAACCCTTATAATTGTGGTTTGTGTGGGAAAAATTTCATGGAATTAGCAGTTTTAAAGAAACACATGAACACACATACAGGTGACAAACCGTATAAATGTGGTATTTGTGAAAAGGCATTCATAGAATTAGCAGTTTTAAAGAAACACATGCGGACACATATGGGAAATAAACCTCATAAATGTGATGATTGTGGGAAGGCATTCACACAGTCAGGTTCCTTGAAGAGGCACAGGAGGACACACACAGGTGATAAACCTTATAAATGTGATGTATGTGGAAAGGAATTCAGTCAGTCAGGTGACTTACAGAAACACATGAGGATACATACAGGTGATAAACCATTCAAATGTGATGTATGTCAGAAGACATTCACCCATTCACAATGCTTACTGAGTCACATGAGGACACATACAGGTGATAAACCTTATAAATGTGATGTTTGTGGGAAGGTGTTCACACAGTCAGGTTCTTTGAAGAGACACATGAGGACACACACAGGTGATAAACCTCATAAATGTGATGTTTGTGGAAAGGCATTCATACAGTCAAATGACTTAAAGAAACACATGAATACACATACAGGAAATAAACCTCATATTTGTGATGTTTGCGGAAAGTCATTTTCTGAATTAAGCAACTTAAAGGCCCACCTTATGGTACATACAGGGGATAAACCTTATAAATGTGATGTATGTGGGAAGGCATTTACACATTCAAGTGGCTTAAAGAAACACAGGAGGATACATATAGGTGATAAACCATTCAAATGTGATGTATGTCAGAAGACATACACATGTACACCAAGTCACAATGCTAGCAGAGTCACATGAGGACACATACAGGTGATAAACCTTATAAATGTGCTGTATGTGGGAAGACATTTTCCCTCTCAGAAAACTTACAGATACACATGAGAACACATACAGGTGAAAAACCTTATCAATGTGATATTTGTGGGAAGGCTTTTGCACTGTCAAATCACCTACAGTATCACATGAGGACACATACAGGTGATCAACCTTATAAATGTAATGTGTGTGGAAAGGCATTCAATCTGTCAGGTGACTTAAAGAGTCACATGAGGACACATACAGGTGATAAACCTTATAAATGTGATGTTTGTGGAAAGGCATTCAGTCGGTCACCTTACTTAAAGAGACACATGAGGAAACATACTGGTGACAAACCTTATAAATGTGATGTTTGTGGAAAAGCATTCAGTTGGTCACCCGACTTAAAGAGACACATGAGGATACATACTGGTGATAAACCTTATAAATGTGATGTTTGTGGAAAGGCATTCAGTCGTTCACCCGACTTAAAGAGACACATGAGGAAACATACTGGTGACAAACCTTATAAATGTGATGTTTGTGGAAAAGCATTCAGTTGGTCACCCGACTTAAAGAGACACATGAGGATACATACTGGTGATAAATCTTTCAAATGTGATGTAAGTCCGAAGGTTTTCACCCAGTGACAGGCCTTACAGAGACACCTGAGGACACATACAGGTGATAAGCCTAATTAATGTGATTTTGTTGAAATGGCTTTTATTCGAATAATATACAGGAACACTTGAGGACACATACAGGTGATAAATTAAATAAGTATGATCTGTGTGGACAAGCATTCAACTGGGAAGGAAAAGTTCAGATACACATAAGAACACATACTGATGGAAAACCTTATAAACTTGACATGTGTTGGAAGGCATTTAAGCCGTCTGAGGACTTGCAGAGCACGTGAAGAGACAAACAAGTGATAAACCTTATATTAAAACTTGATATGTGCGAAAGGTCTTATTCTGATGTTAATACTTTAAAGGACAATAGACGATGCATTCAGGTGAAAAACCTTACAAATGTAATGTACGTGGACATGTTTTCAGCAGAGCATATAAAGTAACACAAATACCCATGTACAGGTGACAGCATGTATTTGTAAAAAATAAAGGATGGCATAAAGTCTTTAAGAACGACATTAAGATGCACAGCAGTGAGGCATATGTCAATTTAAAGTTTCCTGAAATCAGGTTCATCAGACAATATATACACAGAGATAGATAACACATATTTTCCACTGTCATAATAATGACAGTAAAAACCTGAGAAAAGAATTTTCTGTGAACATTATTTTTAATATGGTATCAAATGTACAATTGAGGAGTAAAATGATGCATGGTAAGGTATTCATTCTATCTACTCATCTGATAAGTGTATGGTCAATTTTATCAAATTACTACATGTATAAGGGAAGTAACTCCACCATTTGAAATATAATTCAACACATTTTGAAGAAAACTTGATATTTTTATGGTGATAAAAATACGTTAATACTTTAAAGGACAATAGACGATGCATTCAGGTGAAAAACCTTACAAATGTAATGTACGTGGACATGTTTTCAGCAGAGCATATAAAGAAACACAAAAACACATGTACAGGTGACAGCATGTATTTGTAAAAAATAAAGGATGGCATAAAGTCTTTAAGAACGACATTAAGATGCACAGCAGTGAGGCATATGTCAATTTAAAGTTTCCTGAAATCAGGTTCATCAGACAATATATACACAGAGATAGATAACACATATTTTCCACTGTCATAATAATGACAGTAAAAACCTGAGAAAAGAATTTTCTATGAACATTATTTTTAATATGGTATCAAATGTACAATTGAGGAATAAAATGATGCATGGTAAGGTATTCATTCTATCTACTCATCTGATAAGTGTATGGTCAATTTTATCAAATTACTACATGTATAAGGGAAGTAACTCCACCATTTGAAATATAATTCAACACATTTTGAAGAAAACTTGATATTTTTCTGGTGATGTCAAAATCTGTACAATATTATTGATATATTTTGTAAATTTGATTAAGGATTCTAATAAATATAAATGAAGAAATGAATGAATATAAGGTGTAAATTTCATAATACAAATATTTCTGTATGCTGAATATTATTTTTATACCTCTTATATTTTGGTTGAATTAAACACAAAGACTTTTATGTTTTTGATTTCCAAAATAAATTGTACTGTACAATTGTTATTTTTTTAAGGCCCATCTGAACCAAAGGACAAGTGCACTTAGGTTATGCTTTTTATGTGCCATTTTACTTATGTAAACAATATATTATCAAATCGTTTTCTTTTGGTAATAGTTAGAAATAAGTGGATATTTCGAATTAAAACACATATACATGTAAAGCATCACCTAAAGCAGCGTGGATTTGAAACAATTAAATGATTTTAAATGCCCATGGATTCCCTGAATCTGGAAAAGTTGTACCGAATCTTCTTTGACTTTCGTTTATGTAAATCAAGGTGAATAGATATTTCAATAGACTCTTGAACATGGTGGATCATACACGGGCATGTTTGTAGAATGTTACGTTTTGTACCAAATTTGTTTTAAAAAATTGAATGAAGTTGTGTGATCTTGGAGTCATAATGATCAAACTAAGAAATTGGTACTCTTGCAATGAAAAAAAAATACAAATATAGTTTCATTGAATTTGAAATAAAAAAGGAGTGTTTAGGTGGCTTTCAATGCTATAGGAAAAACATTGTACGTTTTTTACATTTTTGATATTTTAACTACCAGCCTAATTGTATGCAAATTTCCTACCTTCACACAAGTTTTATCAATGTATTATGCGTCTTTTGTCACTAGCACAAGTTTGTACAAAGTTAGGCTCATAGTAAACAAAAGCTTTGAAATGATTGACCATACTCGATTTACTATAATAGAAAATCACAAATGTCGGCTGACCCCTGGAATATTCAATGGTTTTGTTCTTTGTATATTCGTGGATTTCAGGCCCAATCAGGGGTAAAATTTCTTGAGTCGTACGGTTTAGATATCAATTAATGATTTGGGATGAAAAAGTTATTGGATTGTTTATTTTTTCACGTTTAGCCATGGCCCACAAGGGAACTCAGTCTTTGTCCATTATCTGTCATCGTCTGTTTGCGTCAGTGTCCTGTGCACATTTTCATATTCTCCTCGAAAACTACAGGGTCCATTTCAACCAAATTTGCCACGGATTATCCCTACGTGGAGGGGATTCAAGTTTGTTCAAATGAAGGAACAGACCTTCTTCCAAGAGGAGATAACAATTCATGCATTTAAGATTTAATTTGTTCAAATCATGACCCCTTGGGAACTACCCGATAGGTAGAGGCCACAAAGGGGATTTTTTTTACAGTACATGTATCTTTCTAAACATGCTAAAGAACGGGAAAGTTTTATGTTATGTTGATATGAATCCTCAAGTAATGTAAAATTCAAGCCTCTTGGCCATGGTTTTTGACAAAGATTTTGAAATTAAAAAAAAAATCTTGAATTCATGTATCATTTAGTCTTTATGTGTGTAATTAATCCTACAGTAAAAATATTAATAGTACCATGTTGAGCATTAAAACTGATTTCTTTGGTCAATCTTACAGATGGAAAGGGGAGAGTTTGAATCCGATCAGAGAAATACTGAAAATTTGAAGAACTGCTGTTCAGAAGAAAATGAGACAAGAGATGAAGAAAAACAAATCAATGCAAGTGTAAGTACTAAGCATGGTTTATTTAACAGTAGGGAAGATTCAACAGATCAATTACAGAGGCAAACTGGGACACAAAGCGGGGATCAATTACAGAGGCAAACTGGGACACTAAGCGGGGATCAATTACAGAGGCAAACTGGGACACTAAGGGGGGATCAATTACAGAGGCAAACTGGGACACTAAGCGGGGATCAATTACAGAGGCAAACTGGGACACTAAGCGGGGATCAATTACAGAGGCAAACTGGGACACTAAGCGGGGATCAATTACAGAGGCAAACTGGGGCACAAAGCGGGGATAAAATTTTAAAGTGTGAATTATGTGGGAAGGCCTTCACTGCATTAAAAGAAATAAAAAGCTACCCGTGGACACAACCTGGTGAAGAACTTGACATTTGTGATGATTGTGAAAAAACTTTCAACCAATCAGGTGCCTTACACAAAAATAAGAGAACACATGCCTTGAATACACATAAATGTGATTTGTGTGAAAAACACTTCAAACGATTTTATACCTTGAAGATACATATAAGGATACATACAGGTTATAAACCTTATAAATGTGGTTTGTGTAAGAAAAATTTCATGGAATCGGCAGTTTTAAAAAAACACATGAAGACACATACAAGTGATAAACCTTATAAATGTGGTGTTTGTAAAAAGGCTTTCATAGAATTTACAGTTTTGAAGAGACACATGCGGACACATACAGGAAATAAACCTCATAAATGTGACGTTTGTGGAAAGTCTTTTTCTGAATCAAGCAACTTAAAGACCCACCTTATGATACATACTGGTGAAAAACCTTATAAATGTGATGTGTGTGGAAAGGCATTCAAACTGTTACATCACTTAAAGGATCACATGAAAATACACACTGGTGATAAACCTTATAAATGTGATGTGTGTGAGAAGGCATTAACCCAGTCATCACGCTTACAGACTCACATGAGGACACATACTGGTGAAACACCTTATAAATGTGATATTGGTGGGAAGGCATTCATTCGAGTTGATAATTTACAGGAACACATGAGGACACATACAGGTGATGAATTGTATAAGTGCGATATATGTGGAAAGGCTTTCAACTGGGCAGGAAAACTACAGATACACATGAGGACACATCCTGGTGAAAAACTTTATAAATGTGACAAGTGTAGGAAGGCATTCAAGCTGTCTGAGGACTTACAGAAACACATGAAGAGATATACAAGTGATAAACCTTATTAATGTTATCTGTGTGCGAAAGGTCTTTCTCTGATGTTAATACTTTAAAAGACTATATGATGATACATACAGGTGAAAAACCTTACAAATGTAATGTATGTGGACATGCATTCAGCAGAGTATATATAAAGAAACACTTATGGACACAATCAGGTGATAGCATAAAGTGTAGAAAATATAGGATGGCATAAAGTCTTTAAGAACGACATGAAGATGCACAAAAGTGATACATATGTCAATTTAAAGTTTCCTGAAATCAGGTTCATCAGACAATATATTGACAGAGAAAGATAACACATATTCAACTATTTTATGACATTAAAAACCTGAAAAAAGGAATTTTCTATGAACACTATTTTTATGCCCCCCTTCGATGAAGGGAGGGCATATTGCTTTGCTGCTGTCTGTTGGTATGTCGGTCCATTTAGTTTACGTTCATTTTCTTCACAATTGCTGCACGTACTGAAATAAAATTTAGTATACAGGTATATCAGATAAATATCTAGGTCAAGTTCTGTTTTGGGTAAGATTGCACCATAATTGACAGAGTTATGCCCCTTGGACTTAAGAAAAATTCCAATTTTTTGCAGTTTCTGTTCATTTTCTTTACAACCATTGCACATACTAAAATGAAATTTGGTATACAAGTATAGCATATGAATATCTAGATCAGGTTTTGTTTTGGGTATGATTGCACCATTTTTGACAGAGTTATGCCCCTTGGACTTACAAAAAATCCTATTATTTGCAGTTTCCATTCATTTTCTTTGAAGAGGTTGCACATATTGAAATGGAATTTAGTATACAGATTATTCAGATGAATATCTAAGTCAAGTTCTGTTTTTGGTATGATGGCAGCATAATTGACAAAATTATGCCCCTTGGACTTGCAAAAATTCCTATTATTTGCAAATTCCGTTCATTTTCTTTGAAAAGGTTGCACATATTGAAATGGAATTTAGTATACAGATTAATCAGACGAATATATAGGCCAAGTTCTGTTTTGGGTACAATCGCACAATAATTGACAGTTTTGCCCCTTGGACTTACAAAAATTCCAATTTTTTGCAGTTTCCATTCATTTTGTTTAGAGAGGTTGCACATATTGAAATGGAATTTAGTATACAGATTAGTCAGATAAATATCTAGGTCAAGTTCGGTTTTGGGTATGATCACACCATTTTTGACATAGTTATGCCCCTTGGACTTAGAAAAATTCCAATTTGTTGGGGAGGGGGGCATAAATTTTTTACAAACATCTCTAGTTAATATGGTATCAAAGGTACAATTGAAATAAATGATGCATGGTAAGGTATACATCCCAGCTGATACTCATTTGATGAGTATATGGTCAATTTGATCACCCAAATTACTACATGTATAAAGGAAGTAACTCTACCACTTGAAATATAATTCAAGAAAACTTTTTTCTGGTGATGTCCAAAATCTGTAAAATATAATTGATATATTTGGTTAATTTGATTGATGATACTTATAAACATAAATAAAGAAATGAATAGATAAAAGGTATAAGTTTCATAATATTATATTTCTGAATGCTGAATTTTATTTTTATTTTTATACCTCTTATTTTTTTATTTAATTAAACACAAAGACTTTTATGTGATTGATTCCCAAAATAAAATTGTATGTTCGATTGTTAATTTTTTTAAAGCTCAACTGAATCAAATTGTCCTTTTGTCTGTCGCTGTCATCATTGTTTGCGTCATTGTCATGTGCACATTTTCATATTCTCCTCGAAAACTACAGGGCCCATTTCAACCAAATTTGCCACAGATTATCCCTACATGAAGGGGATTCAATTGTTCAATTGAAGGAACAGACCTTCCAAGGGGAGTTAATAATTCATGCATTTAATATTTAATTTGTTCCAATCATGATCCCTTGGGAACTATCCGGTAGGGAGGGGTCCCAATGGGGAATTTTTTTTTTGGCCATGAATTTCAACCAAGTTTTTGAAATTTAAAAAAAATTCCTGAACGCATGTATAATTTAGTCTTTGTGTGTTATTTATCCTACAGTGAAAATTGTGCCGTGTTGAGCATTAAAACTGATTTTTGGTCAATGTTGCAGAAGGAAAGGGGGCAGTTTGAATCCAGTCGGGGAAATACTGAAAATTTGAAGAGCTGCTGTTCAGAAGAAAATGAGATCAGAGATGAAGAAAAACAAATCAATGCAAGTGTAAGTACTAAGCCTGGTTTATTTAACAGTAAAGAAGATTCCACTCACTCAGATCAATTACAGAGGCAAACTGGGGCACAGAACGGGGATAAAATTTCGAAATGTGAATTTTGTGGGAAGGCTTTCAGTGTATCTCTGTTTCTGACACAAACTGGTGAAGATCCTGATATCTGTGATGATTGTGAAAAGACATTTAACCAATCAGGCACCTTACACAATAATAAGAAGACACATACTGGTAATATACGCTATAAATGTGATGTGTGTGAAAAACCCTTTGAACGATTTTATTCTTTGAAGATACATATAAGGATACACACAGGTTATGAACCTTATAAATGTGGTGAGTGTGGGAAAACTTTTATGGTATTTACAGTTCTAAAGAGGCACATGAAGACGCATACGGGAAATAAGCTTCATCAATGCGATGCCTGTGGAAAGTCATTTTTTGAATCAAACAACTTAAAGAGCCACCTTATGACACATACAGGTGATAAACCTTATAAATGTGATGTGTGTGGAAAGGCATTCAGTCGGTCACCTGACTTGAAGAGACACATGAGGATACATACTGGTGATAAACCTTTCAAATGTGATGTATGTCAGAAGGCATTCACCCTGTCGCAGACCTTACAGAATCACATGAGGACACATACTGGTGATAAACCTTTCAAATGTGATATATGTCAGAAGGCATTCATCCAGTCACCAAACTTACAGAGTCACATGAGGACACATACTGGTGATAAACCTTTCAAATGTGATGTATGTCAGAAGGCATTCACCCAGATACAACACTTACAGAATCACATGAGGACACACACTGGTGATAAACCTTTCAAGTGTGATGTATGTCAGAAGGCATTCACCCAGTCACACCACTTTCAGAAACACATGAGGACACATACTGGTGATAAACCTTACAAATGTGAAATATGTGAGAAGGCATTCATCCAGAAACAATACCTACAGAGCCACATGAAGACACATACTGGTGATAGGCCTTATGTTAAGTCTGTGAAAAGGCGTTTCACCGAATAGATAATTTACAGGAACACAGGTTTGAGGAGGACACATGCTGGTATAAATCTTATAAATGTGATCTATGTGGATACGTATTCAACAGTGCAGGAAAACTACAGATACACATTAGAACACATACTGGTGAAAAAACCTTATAATAAATGCGAAGTGTTGGAAGGCATTCAAGAGGTCCAATGACTTACAGAATCACATAAGGAGACATATAGGTCATAAACCTTATATTAAAATGTGATGTTAATACTTGAAAGGACCCTATAACAATAGAGACAGTTGAAAAACCTTACAAATGTGATGTGTGTGGACATTCATTCAGTGGATCATATAGATAAAAGAAACACATGAAGACACGTACAGGTGATATCATATACACATGATATGGTGTAGAAAATGTAGGATGGAATAAAGTATTTCAGAACGACATTAAGGTACACAACAGTGATACATATGTCAATTTGAAGTTTCCCGAAATCAGGTTCATCAGACAATATATTGACAGAGAAAGATAACACATATTCAACTATTTTATGACATTAAAAACCTGAGAAAAGGAATTTTCTATGAACATTATTTTTACGCCCCCCTTCGATGAAGGGAGGGCATGTTGCGTTGCTGCTGTCTGTGGGTATGTCAGTCCATTTAGTTTACGTTCATTTTCTTCACAATTGCTGCACGTACTGAAATAAAATTTAGTATACAGGTATATCAGATAAATATTTAGGTCAAGTTCTGTTTTGGGTAAGATTGCACCATAATTGACAGAGTTATGCCCCTTGGACTTGGAAAAATTCCAATTTTTTGCAGTTTCTGTTCATTTTCTTTACAACCATTGCACATACTAAAATGAAATTTGGTATACAAGTATAGCATATGAATATCTAGATCAGGTTTTGTTTTGGGTATGATCGCACCATTTTTGACAGAGTTATGCCCGTTGGACTTACAAAAAATCCTATTATTTGCAGTTTCCATTCATTTTCTTTGAAGAGGTTGCACATATTGAAATGAATTTAGTATACAGATTATTCAGATGAATATCTAAGTCAAGTTCTATTTTTGGTATGATGGCATCATAATTGACAAAATTATGCCCCTTGGACTTGCAAAAATTCCTATTATTTGCAAATTCCGTTCATTTTCTTTGAAGAGATTGCACATATTGAAATGGAATTTAGTATACAGATTAATCAGACGAATATATAGGCCAAGTTCTTTTTTTGGTACAATCGCACAATAATTGACAGTTTTGCCCCTTGGACTTACAAAAATTCCAATTTTTTGCAGTTTCCATTCATTTTGTTTAGAGAGGTTGCACATATTGAAATGGAATTTAGTATACAGATTAGTCAGATAAATATCTAGGTTTTGGGTATGATCACACCATTTTTTACAGAGTTATGCCCCTTGGACTTAGAAAAATTCCAATTTGTTGGGGAGGGGGGCATAAGTGTTTTACAAACATCTCTTGTTAATATGGTATCAAATGTACAATTGAAATAAATGATGCATAAATTATACATCCCATATACTCATTTGATGAGTATATGGTCAATTTGATCACCCAAATTACTACATATATAAAGGAAGTAACTCCACCATTTCAAATATAATTCAAGAAAACTTGATATTTTTCTGGTGATGTCCAAATCTGTACAATATAATTGATATATTTGGTTAATTTGATTGATGATACTAATTAACATAAATGAAGAAATGAATAAATAAAAGATGTAAATTTCATAATACAAGTATTTCTGAATGCTGAATTTTATTATTATTTTTGTTTTTATACCTCTTATTTTTTGGTTGAATTAAACACAAAGACTTTTATGTCTTTGAGTCCCAAAATAAAAATTATATGTTCGATTGTTATTTTTTTAAAGCTCAACTGAATCAAATGTGTCCTTTTGTCTGTCGCTGTCATCATTGTTTGCGTCATTGTCGTGTGCACATTTTCATATTCTCCTCGAAAACTACAGGGCCCATTTCAACCAAATTTGCCACAGATTATCCCTACATGAAGGGGATTTAATTGTTCAGTTGAAGGAACAGACCTTCTTTCAAGGGGAGATAATAATTCATGCATTTAATATTTAATTTGTTCCAATTATGATCCCTTGGTAACTACCCGGTGGGGAGGGGTCCCAATGGGGATTTTTTTTACAGTATCTTTCTAAAGAACAGGAAAGTTTTATGTTATATTGATATGAATCCTCAAGTAGTGTAAAAATCAAGCCTGTTGGCCATGAATTTCAACCAAGTTTTTGAAATTAAAAAAAATCCTGAATGCATGTATAATTTAGTCTTTGTGTGTTATTTATCCTACAGTGAAAATAGTGCCGTGTAGAGCATTAAAACTGATTTTTGGTCAATGTTGCAGAAGGAAAAGGGGAAGTTTGAATCCAATCAGAGAAATACTGAAAATTTGAAGAGCTGCTGTTCAGAAGAAAATGAGACAAGAGATGAAGAAAAACAAATCAATGCAAGTGTAAGTTCTAAGCCTGGTTTATTTAACAGTAAGGAAGATTTCACTCACTCAGATCAATTACAAAGGCAAACGGGGGCACAGAACGGGAATAAAATTTCGAAATGTGAATTTTGTGGGAAGGCCTTCGGTGTATCTCTGTTTCGGACACAAACTGGTGAAGATCCTGATATCTGTGATGATTGTGAAAAGACATTTAACCAATCAGGCACCTTGCACAATAATAAGAGGACACATACTGGTAATATACGCTATAAATGTGATGTGTGTGAAAAACCCTTCGAACGATTTTATTCTTTGAAGATACATATAAGGATACACACAGGTTATGAACCTTATAAATGTGGTGTGTGTGGAAAAACTTTTATGGTATTTACAGTTCTAAAGAGGCACATGAAGACGCATACAGGAAATAAGCTTCATCAATGCGATACCTGTGGAAAGGCATTTTCTGAATCAAATAACTTAAAGGCCCATCTTATGACACATACAGGTGCTAAACCTTATAAATGTGATGTGTGTGGAAAGGCATTCAGTCGGTCACCTGACTTGAAGAGACACATGAGGATACATACTGGTGATAAACCTTTCAAATGTGATGTATGTCAGAAGGCATTCACCCAAACACAACACTTACAGAGTCACATGAGGACACATACTGGTGATAAACCTTTCAAATGTGATATATGTGAGAAGGCATTCACCCAGTCACAATGCTTGCAGAGTCACATGAGGACACATACTGGTGATAAACCTTTCAAATGTGATATATGTCAGAAGGCATTCATCCAGTCTCCGAACTTGCAGAGTCACATGAGGACACATACTGGTGATAAACCTTTCAAATGTGATGTATGTCAGAAGGCATTCACCCAGATACAACACTTACAGAATCACATGAGGACACATACTGGTGATAAACCTTTCAAATGTGATGTATGTCAGAAGGCATTCACCCAGTCACACTACTTACAGAAACACATGAGGACACATACTGGTGATAAACCTTTCAAATGTGAAATATGTGAGAAGGCATTCACCCAGAAACAGTACTTACAGAGCCATATGAAGACACATACTGGTGATAGGCCTTATGTTAAGTCTGTGAAAAGGCGTTTCACCGATTAGATAATTTACATGAACACAGGTTTGAGGAAGACGCATACTGGTGATAACCGTATAAACCTTATAAAGGTGATCTATGTGGATAGGCATTCAACTGTGCAGGAAAATTACAGATACACATTAGAACACATACCGGTGAAAAACCTTATAAATGCGAAGTGTTGGAAGGCATTCAAGAGGTCCAAGGACTTACAGAATCACATAAGGAGACATATAGGTCATAAACCTTATATTAAAATGCGATGTTAATTCTTGAAAGGACCATATAACGATAGATACAGGTGAAAAACCTTACAAATGTGATGTATGTGGACATTCATTCAGTGGATCATATAGATAAAAGAAACACATGATTGACATGAAGACAAATACAGGTGATATCATATACACATTATATAGTGTAGAAAATAAAGGATGGAATAAAGTATTTCAGAACGACATTAAGATACACAACAGTGATACATATGTCAATTTGAAGTTTCCCGAAATCAGGTTCATCAGACAATATATTGACAGAGAAAGATAACACATATTTTCATTATTTTATGAAATTAAAACACCCTTAAAAAGGAATTTTCTATGATATGGTATCAAACAAGAAGGCTTATATAGGCTATGCAAGTAACCTGCTGCCCAATCCATTTATGTATGCATTACATAATAAAATGATGTTCAAATCAAATCAAACTACAATTGACAAAAAATAATGCATGGAAAGGTAAACACCCCACATAGTCATATACTCATTTGATAGGTATGGGTATATAGTATCTAAAAATACCATTTCCCGCCAAATTACTATACATATATGCACATGATGTATAAGGGAAGTAACTCAAGCATATGAAATATATTACATGTAAACTTAATATTTTTACCGTTGATGTCCAAAATCTGTACAGTATAATTGATATATTTGGTAAAATTTGATTGTTGATACTAATAAAATTATTCATTTATTATGAAGAAATGAATAAATGAAATGAATAAATTTCAAAATACATGCTGAATTTTATTTTTAAATTCTTTTTTATCACCTTTAATGTTTTTGGTTGAATTTAACACAAAGACTTTTATGTTATTGATTCCCAGAATAAAATTGTATGTTTGATTGTTTGTTTTTTTTTGTAAAGCTCACATGAACCAAAGGCTCAAGTGAGTTTTTAGGTCACCTGAGTCACTCAGGTGACCTATTGCTCTCTGTTTTCGTCCGACGTCGTACGTCGTTCGTCGTCAATCGGTCATAAACTTTTGAACATTTTCAGCTTCTTCTCTGGAACACTGGAACGGCTGAGCTAATTTCAACCAAATTTGGTATACAGAATTAATGGGTGAATGGGAACAAAAATTGTGAAATTCCTGGCCCCTACCCCCCTGGGGCCTGAGGGGTGGGGCCAAAACCACCAAAATAAATACAATCTTTAAAAATCTTCTTCTTTACTCCTGGACATCAAGCAGTCAAACTGTTGGCATGATGATAATCAGCCTTGAGTCCTCTACCAAAATTGTAAAATTTATGGCCCCAGGGTCAGGGGTTCTTGGGTTAAGGTGGGGCTATATAGATCATATAGTAAAAGTGCATTATCTTTTTGAAAATCTTCTTCACTGCTCCTGGGTATTAAATAAACTTACTAAGTACATAGTTATGATAAGCAAGACTGCCTCTTTGAAAATTGTGAATTTTATGGCTTAAGGGTCAGGGGTTCTGGTGTTAGGGTGGGTCTCTGTTGATTATATATTGAAAACATGTTGAAAATACATTAATTCTTTGAAAATCTTCTTCTCTGCTTCTGGTCATTAAATAAGCTAACTAAGCACATAGTTATGTAGCTGCAGATCTGTAGCGTCATGGTTTTATATATTTGTCTTTGACCATAACGCTACATCCTTTAATGCAAAAAAGGTGCAATTTACGGCGCAATATTTTTGCGCACTTTTCTCTGAAAATTTCTCCACTTTCTGGGTATTAGATAAACTACCTTTCAACTCCTAATTCTAGACACATTTTGTAACCAATATATATAGTTTATCCACCTCCCAACCATTTATAGTTGTCTCTACAGACAATAAACTCGCTCGAGGTTAATTTTCAGTGATCTAACAAATAATTTTAATCAAGCGAATTTATCATTTGTATAGACGACTATAAAGGGTTGGGAGATGGGTAAAATACACAGATTAGTTAAATAATGTGTCTAGAATGAGGAATTGAAAGGTCGTTGATTGACTAATGCTGGAAAGTGGAGAAAAGAGCGCAAAGAATATTGCGCCGTAAATTGCACTTTTTTTGCACTACTGGATCTGTAGCGTTATGGTCAAAGACAAATATGTAAAACCATAACGCTACAGATCTGCAGCTAATAGTTATGATAAGCAAGAATATCGCTTTCAAAATTGTGAAGTTTATGACCCCAGGGTCAGGGTTCTGGTGTTAGGATGGGGCTCTATAAATAATATGTTGAAAATACATTAATTCTCTGGAATTCTTCTCTGCTCCTGGGTATTAGATAAACTAACTAAGTACATAGTTATGATGGGCAAGAATGCCTCTTACAAAATTGTGAATTTTATGGCCCCAGGGTCAAGGGTTCTTGTGATAGGGCGGGGCTCTACTGCTTATAGTGAAATTATGTTAAATCTAAGTGTATAGTTATGATGAGTAATGATTCCTTTTTCAAAATTTTGAATGCCATGGTGTTTAGTTTAAAAATATAAACCAAACTTAATCATCGGAAAGTTGTTGCATGATGCTCAGGTGACCTATACGGCCCATGGGCCTCTTGTTCTGATCAAATTTTGTCAATCGTCTGTCCCTGTCGCTGTCGTTTACGTCATTGTCGTTTGCACACTTTCATAATCTCCTAAAAAATTAAAGGGCCCATTTCCACCAAAATTACCACAGAGTATCCTTAGGTGAAGAAGGTTTCATTTGTTCAAATGAAAGACCAGACCTTCTTCCAAGGGGAAATAATTCATGCATTGTAGATTTATTTTTTTTTCCAATCGTGACCCTGTTTTTCTTACGAAGTATCTTCCTGAAGTTCAGGAAAAATCTATGTTATGTTGATATAAATCCTCCAGTATAAAATTCAAGCCCCCCCCCCCCCTTTCAGTAAATTTTTGAATACTGGGCTGATTTGTGCTTTTTCCTATAGCCGATGTGTACAGGTGAGCAATGTGGCCCATGGGCATCTTGTTGCATTTAATTTCCTCAGAGAAATACCTCAAGAAGCAATATTTACATTTGCTGTTAGTAGTGTTGTCACGATGATCGATTTATAATCGATGACCGGTCGGAAAGGCTGTCGATTTTAGACAATCGATTGGAGATTTTAACAATCGATTAATCGGTATATTCAGCTCATATCTTTTTTACAGTTTTCTTACTTTTATTTCAAGAACAGGCTCTTGTTATCAATATATATATCTTTCAAGAGTTGTCCTTTACTATTTTAAAATACATGTACTTAAAATATGTTTGAAATTAATCAAAAGATAATGATACATGTATTTCTAAACTGAAGAAACTAAACTACTTGTTTAAATAAAATATATTAATTTTCAGTATTTGGGGAATTCACTTGTCATTAAATTCATACGGAATCACAAGGAATTTGCAATATTAAATGTCTTATAACAGTTTAAAAAAAATTCCATATACATTTTAGATGATCATGTAAATTAAAACCTGATCTGTCAATGCTCATATTTCCCAGGCCAAGTAATTCCTAATCATGCAAAAATCTGTATTACTGAAATCAAACTGCATATATACTGTTTTTAGAATTTCGATCTGTACAATGCACCTTTTCTTACATTATTTAACAATAAAATTCTAATTTTTATAAAATATAATGCCTATTTTATGCAAAAGGTTA